GTCTCTTAGAATGTTTAGCATTCCATCTCTTTTTTCTTTGTGATCTTCAAATACTAAACCTACTGTAAGTGAAAAGCCACACATGGAAGTACCTAAAAGATGAAGCATGTTTCACTTTGTTTCATTTGTTCTGGAGAGCCATGGGAACTCCCCTTGAGTCGTGTGTGTGTGTGTGTGTGTGTGTGTGTGTGTGTGTGTGTGTTCTAGAGCAGATGGGAGAAACACAGATAGGACACTCTGACTATACTCTGGGATATCTAATTAGAGTCTGGAAAGCATCTGGGAGACAGAAATCACCCATCACTCTTTCGCAAAGACTCACAGGACTAGCCAAGAGCAGAACCAGAAGGTTAAACACTGAACTACCAACAATTAGCCACTTGACCTCCCAGTTCAGGAAAGAAAAGCACAGAGAGCCCACTCCCTCTGATCTTCCCATGTCGTTCCAAAGGGGCTATAATTATAAAAATGCCTGGTCAGGATAATGATGCTGATGATGGAAGCAAGATAATTACTGAAGCAAAAGCTTTTAGAATTAAGTTAAATAGACGCATGGAAAAGTCAGATTAAGTCCAAAGGAAAGCTAAGACGTAACATTTAATTACGCTTGGAATTCACAAATCCCACCATTTCTACTACCCTGCAGCAAGTATTCCCAAATCCAGTCACGGTCCTCAGAGGAAATCATACAGTATATTCCTGTAATGCTCAAATTATCCCAGACTGATAGTAGTGCTTTTGCAGGAGGGGAGGATGGGATTATAGGCATGCAGAGCAGGTGTGAACAGATGACCACCCTTCAAACTCAGCTAACCCCCTCTCTCTTATGCCTTAGGGCTGGTAACACACACACACACTCATATCTTAGCTGCCCATCCAACATTCCCAGGAAATGAACTGTGATTATACATGTCATCGGTGACATCCCTCTGTTTCGAAGCTGAGAACTGATGAACAGCGTGTCTTTCTCAATACATTACTGAAGTCTACAGGAATGAGGTTAGCTCACATGAGCCCAAGAGCTCTCTTGTCTGCGAGGGCTTATGGCAGCATATAGATCAGATGCCTTTCAGTGGCGTTGTGCTTTCTGAACATTCCCGCACTGGGTCGGTGAAGCACACCTGTTTGTGAATGTTGCCGTTTTTATGGGGTGTTTGCACCTCTGGACACTTTTATAGCATGTGGTTTAACACTTTAAATGTAGTATTTAGGAGCAGACTGTTACATTTGGCTAAGTGTGCTTATGGTCAATTCAGTCATGGGTACGTTTAGGTGCTCATTGCTTGGCACCGTCCTCTTACTCTGTATTTTCATGTATAAAGAGCCATTTACACTACAGCATATATTTGAAATAAAAATGTTTTGCAAGTATTTCCTTTTTAAAAAGTGTTAATAACAGTATTTATTTGTAGAAAAAATCCACTTGCCCCAAACTTTAGAAAGGAAGTGTATACTGTGTGCAGTTGTAAGTGATATTTTGAACACACTTTTTGTAATAAAAATGTATTATGGGAATATTATGTGGAAAATATTTTCGATGTATGCCCAACATTAGAAAATAAGTGAAACATTTTTAGTTCAGTTCAGATATATTTTTATGGCACATTTTATTGATTACTTTTCTTTAGTTTTTTTTTCTTGTGACCCCCTGAGGGACCCAGTTTGAAAATATTTGGCCTACAGGATGAATAGTTTATCCTAAAATAAAATTTTGACATAAGGGTTTGTATAAAAATGACATAATTAAAAAATTTGGTTTAAATTGACTGATTTGATCTAATTTGCCATGTTTTATTTATTTATTTATTTATTTTTATTATTGTTATTATTTTTCTCTTTTATGTTAATAAAATGTTAAAATCAATTAATAGACAATTGAAAAAAAAAATTGGGTTTAACTATACCTTTAATCTCCTGCACTTCTAAAAGATTCAGGGCTAACACACTGTCCTCTTGTCCTTTTTTTCGGGCTGTCTGCAGAGTTCCCTATTAGCGTGGCGGAAAGCTATGCAGGTTTTTTCTTCAGTGCTGGATGTTTTGTCCTAGTGTGGGATTTTGAGTGCAGATTACCGGTCTCTGCTCATGTTCACACTTGCTCAAATGCTAACAGTAGCCAGATTTCAGCTATGAATATGAGTGTTCAACAGAAAAGTGTGTCAGGACACACATTTATGCAGTGAATCTTCAATTTTGCCTTGGCTTGGACACATATTTATCTTTCTTTATTCTTTCTCTGTTGCCTCTATCTGCTCTGCATTACTTGTCCTTTCAGGCTCTTATCCTAACTTAGTATTTTGTCTTCTCTTACTGACATCATTGCCTTGAGGAGCCAAAATTGAGTTTTAAAATACCTTATCTGTACCCACGAGCTTCTTGACTTCAAGTCTTTACTTGTTTTGTTGGGGTCTTCCATAGACCGAAATGCACTGTATGTTCTTTCTTAAAGCTGTTTTTCCTGTGCATAATAAGTGGTGTTTGCTGAGTATCTTCATTACAATTGCTCATACTTGAAAGTAAACAGATTTGCAATTTTTTTGCCTGTGTTGGTCCAAGCAATAAATAAATAAATAAAATATCCCATAGATGGCTGTATCTAAAGATTGGAATATTATAGTAACTTGAGAGCGGGTTCTTTTGACTTGAGCCAGTAAGCAACTCAACTCAGAATACCAAACAAGAAATGCTCTTGTGGTTCATTTTCATGTTTGGAAAGAGATTAAGTATCCAGTGACTCATGTCCTGAGGTTACATGTACTGGTGTTGTAGTGTGTATATGCTTTGAGAGGTGATAAGAAGATTCTTTATGTCTGTGCTGATTTCTGTGACTCTGTATCTGTGAATTGATTGCAGTAAACACAGCTTTCACAGACATGTCTGGAATGGACTGTAAGGGTTTGCCCTGATCAGATTCTGTCTCCAGGGGGCAACAGCTGTGTTTGATCTTTGAACTCTGGAATGACCCATCATAGTTTCATTTTACTAAACCATGGCACATACCAGTTAACGATGTAACAGGATTTATGACATGCGCCGGGACTCCAGGTGTGAAGGGATGCGTGCAGCTGTTACGGCATCCCCCGTTGCCGTGGTAATCCCTCCTCCTCCGGCTCTCCTCATAAGCATGCCATTATTCTCAAGCCTGTCTGGCGTTCCCAAGTCGGACCGACTGAGGTTGTGATACGTTCCATTCCTGCAGACTGAGCAACACTGGTGTCTTTACACAGACAGCCGCTTGCATCATGACAGGATGTGGGATGAAGATAAAAAAATATGAAGGAAGGAAGAAGAGGATAGGAGGAGGGAGAGAGGGAACAAGTGAAGCTTGAGTTTCTTGCACAAATATATATATATATATATAGTCCAACATACAGTTTTTAAAATAAAATAGTTTCTCTCTATTAACTGTAAAATGATGATTTATTGGGTCACACTTTATAGTAGGTGTCTTTAACTACTATGTAGTTACTTAAAAAATAACTACATTGTATGGATTGTGTTCATGATGTATTGTAAAACACTTTTGCTGCTATCGAGGTGGGATACGGGTAAGGTTAGGGACAGGTTTTATGGTATAGGTAGATTTAAAGGGATAGTTCACTTTGAAATAAATTTTTTATATGTTTTAGCTTACCTCAAGGGCATCCAAGATGTAGGTGTCTTTGTTTCCACAGTTTTTTCAATTTTGACATTTTTCGGTCCAACCATTCTTGTCTATCAGTCATATAATGCAGGTCTATGGGGTCCATGTCAAAGAGCATGCACAGAGAAGTCCAAATTAAACATGATTTAATTACTCGTAAATGTAAGTACAAACTGATGGCCTAAGACACGAAACGAGCGTTTTGTGTTAGAAAACGAACAGTATTTATATCGTTTTACCTCGCGTAATCACATTCACGTCCAAGTGATTTGAATCAGTTGTGCAATGTCCACCTGAACCGAACTGAATCATGTTCAACATTCCGCCGGAAGTGATCGCTTGCGTGTGACGTCACTCAATATTTGCACAAAGATTTCGGAAGTTTTACCTTTTACTAAACATATTTAGATATACCGAAATCGTCTTCCATTGCGGTTTCCTGTATATCTAAATATGTTTAGTGAAACTTAAAACTTCCGAAATCTCTGTATAAACAAAGAGTGACGCACACACGCAAGCGATCATTTCTGGCGCATGAGCAGACCGAAGCGCCCGTGCCGTCAGATCAGTTTGACATCGTTGTGATAGCACGAGGTAAAAACTATATAAATACTGTTCGTTTTCTCACACAAACCGCTCGTTTCGTGTCTTAGCGAATCAGTGTGTACTTACATTGTCGAGTCATTCAATCATGTTTAATTTGGACTTCTCTGTGCATGCTCTTTGAGGTGGACCCCCTAAACCTCCATTATACGACTGTCAGACAACAACGGTTTGACCGAAAAATATCAAAATTGAAAATACTGTGGAAACACCTACATCTTGGATGCCCTTGAGGTGAGCTAAAACATATCAAAAATTAATTTCAAAGTAAACTATCCCTTTAAGAGTGAGTTAAGCACCAAGGGAAGGGTTAGCAGTTCTGACTATAGATGTCCAGAATCCATAATCCAGAATCGGTCTGTCTTCACCGGCCAAAGGTGGTCAGCGCAGACCACAACGATCTGCCCAGGTCTGTCGGTCCTGGGCGAGTCCCATCCAATTGTGTCCCAGATCTTGTCGTAGCGAGTCGCGCCATCATGTTGCAGGGCGCCTGCGTGGCCGCTTGATGTCGATCGGCAACCAGACGGTGACCTTGCGCGTCCATCTTTCATCCATCCGGCGCATCAGGTGCCCGGCCCAGCACTTCTTGGCCTTGTTGGCCAGGTCCACCGCCACCCTGGTCATGGCCCGCAGCTGCTCGTTGCAGATGTGGTCGATCCGTTTAACCCCACTCATGCGGCGCTCGATTGCGCGTTCAGTCACGGCCAGCTTTTGCTGGTCAGGCGCTGTCGTTGCCCAGTTCTTGGCCCCGTAGAGCATGGCCGGCAGGACGGTGCTATTGAATTGGGCGGCCCTGATGTCCGGGTCGATGGCTCTGTTGGTGGCCGTCTCGGCAATTGAGCCAAAGCTGACCCAGGCGGCTCGGCATCGTCATGCCAGTTCTCAACCAATCTTGTGGTCGGTGGTCAGCTCCTGGCCCAAATGGATGTAGCTATCGACTTGCTGGTGCTGGTACTGGCCGACATGAAGGGTAGTGTCGGCCACCTGGTCGTTGTGCATCCACTTGGTTTTGGCCAGATTGATTTTGAGGCCAAAACGAGCGCCAGCCTATATACTACAGATGCCTACTATAGATGTAATTACATAAATTATAATAGTATTATAATAAGTACATTATACATAAAGACTTTAAGTAGAGTGTTACCGAAACAATATGTAGGTGTAGGTAGGGAAAAGCGTGTACTAGATGAGGGTGTGGGAGAGGAAATGAACATACTTTATCCGGACATACATTCACTTTGAAGCATGTTCAGACATGCACAGAACAGCTCACCATCACCAATGCTGTTCACTTATTCCTTCAACAGGCTTCTATACAGTCAAAATGAGTTTAAATAAATGATGCTCAATATGCCCCACATAACACATGAGCACTTATTCCAGAATAAAACAACTGAATCAGGCAACAACCCTTTGGAAATATCAACCCAAGTTCAGTTTTGTCTTTAATTCCACAATGTTTCATTTCCATCTCCTTTTTCCCTGTTGACGAAGGTGTTGCTGGTTTCTCGGGTGCTTAATCATTGGCCAAGGATTCACAGTCCCCAATCCTGTTTCCAAACTAATCACTGTGGCAACACAAAGAGGAATTTGTGCAATCATTAAACACAACTGGACTTTTATTGTACATTTCATACACACTTACCTCACTCTGCAGCAAACACAGCCCAACCCAACCAAATAAAGAGCTTTTTCCTGTAAGTAGCCACCTAGAAACTACTCACAACACCCTAGCATCGAGTAGCAAGCACTTAAAACCACTCAGAGCACCATTGCTTCAAGCCAGAGAGACTTTTACTTTTTTTTTTCCTGTGGCAACCACTATTTTGTTCATCAGAAAGAATAAAAATGTGCATCTAAATCTTTATTGTTCCTACATTTTAATTATCTCTCTAGTTTTTGTTGCTTTTTAATAAAAAAAAAATATCATTTGAAATGTGGTGACCTCAGAGACAGGTTTAAAGCTCTGTTTAGTTAACTCTAAAGGCATTACAGCCCATAAGACATTGAAATGGGTCCAAATGGTTAGATATAATCTCATCCTCATATAAAACTTCCTGCCTCTTGACAGAAGCATGTTGCATCTCTCATCATGGTCCTAGTAAATGTCAAATGCAGGCGCACACACACACACACACAGACACAGTCTAAAGTTCAGGTTCATTCACACCCTTGTGACCAGCGGGCCGTCTGGCAGATGGAAGAAAGAGCATCTGATCCCCATTTCAAAGCGCCCACCTTTCCACCTCGCTAGTCCCGTCAGATATTTCCACAGATGTGTTTTTGTTCTGCGTATCTGTGAGGAGGCTTGCGTTGACAAAGCCCCTGATGTGGCTGAAGTGCTTCTTTGTAGCAGTGGGGCTTTTCGGTTGCATTGCATTGCATTGAGGGCTTGTGGAAGTTAGTGTAGATGGTGGGGGATGGCTTTGTGTGTGTGTGTGTGTTGAAGGGGATTCTGTGTTGTCAGAGCTGAGGGGCTTAGAGAGGAAGTAGATGGGTGTTTAAGCATTAAGCCTTTGGCTTTCCTAAGGAAGACACTTTTCCAGTAAGATTGAATGAAGAATGTCTGATATTTATAATAGGATGCCTCATTATGAATTATTCTTATTGTTTAATATTTATTAAACTTATACAGAACAGCCGTTCCCATGAGAATGCGCATGGTGTTTTGGGAATGGTAGAGATAGCAAAAAGAAGACAAATGAATGTCTTGTGGTTATCACATAACACTAAAATGGGCCAAGGAGATTAGAGCTGATCATCTGCGTTTGGGCTTTCATCAGAAATGTTATCTCCCTGTAAACAAATTTGAAAGAAATATTGGTAACACTTTATTTTGATGGTCCCTTTTGAACATTCTGTTGACTATAAGTAACTTTACAACTACATGTCAATTTTTTCTATACCTAACCCTACCAGTCTACTAATACTCTACTAACACTCTGGTGAGAGTTAGAGATGTAGGTGCAACGTTACTTATAGTCAACTGAATGTGTTGGGGAACATCCAAATAAAGTGAAACTGAAATATTTTTATCTTATTATTTTTATTCCATGATCCATGGAAATAATGATTTCCATGGATCATGATCCATTAATATTTTTATTCCATGATCCATGTTTTTCCATGATTCAATGTTCTTTAGACAAGAATGATACAGTTCTTGTAAATCTATAATGTATCTGGTATTGCATTCAGAAATTACACCTCGTTTGTCATTTCTGAATTAAAATGTATTTTTAAATACCTTTTTTCTAGTTTGACATGATTTTTAGTTTTAGTATTCATTTTAGTGATGTATACCCCAAATGTAAGTCAGCAGTGTAAAAACAACAAGCACAAAATATTTTGTTATGTGACAACCATAAAACCGGAAAATATTTCACAGACTGTGACTAAATGCCCAGATAAGTAGGCCTATGTAAACAAAGAAAAATTATAATAATGATTTGATTTATTTAACACATTTCTTTGTTATGCAAGGCTGTATTTAAAAAAAAAATGTTTAAATGACTTACAGCCAAATTGGTTATACTTGCAAATGTAGTATATATTAATCTCCACATTACCCCTTAGCATGGCATCATTTAAAAGTCATGAGATCATTTTCTTCCTCTCTTTCTTTCTCTCTGGGGCAGAAATACTGTATGTTGATTGAGTCATGCTTATGGAGTGAGTTCAGGGAAAACAGTCCAATTATGTCCATGTCTTTGATCAAGTCTGTGGGAGAACATCTGTGAACCTCAAACACTTTATCAATCTATCAGTCATATAAAAGACAGAAACAGGATTGAAGTTGATACGTGATGACTTTATGTGAAAAGGAAGTTTAAGGTGGTGGTGATGTCATTGGCTCCATTGAGGTATAGAAAGAGCTTCGATCTTCATCTCCAGTGGATGCATGTACTGTATAACCAAGGTTAAACTAAAGTATTATACAGTGTTAGGGGTGGTTTATTGTCTCTAAATTTATTGTCACCAATTTGTTTAGTTTTTTGGCCATTGCTGGTACTGATAAAGCAAGATGGCTGATGGCTAATATTCAGTAATGCAGATATAAATTATAGAGTTTATGCAAATAAGACATTATTCATATTGTGAACTTATATTGAATTCTTTTCCTTCTTCACAGCTTTTTCACGTTGCATACGTGCTCATCAAGTTTGCCAACTCGCCCCGGCCGGACCTGTGGGTTCTGGAGCGCTCCGTTGACTTTGGGAAAACATACCAGCCATGGAAGTTCTTCGCCTGTGAGTAACCGAAATTAGCTTTTTTTTCACTGTTCTTGTGTGTTATGTTCACCTCTGGTTTTCAAGATACCGTAAAACTTCAAATAATAGCCCGGGCTTTTATTTTCCCAAATTGTCGAACTGGAGCGGCTTGTATTTGAGACAGGCATCTATATGAGACCGGCCTTTGTAATTTAGTGTTGAGATGTTGTTCATTGAGTCTATAATCTCTAAAAATCTCCAAATGCTCTACGTGAAACTGCGGTCTTCCAACTTTTTTGTATTGTGTCAATTGATTTGATTGATATGCGTGAAGTTTTACGGTAGTAATGAAAACAGCTTCATGAACATTGTGTGGCCTTCAGTGATTGAAAGGAATGCATTATAGGAATGAAAGTGTGGGTTAAGTGAGAAAGGTCAGGTTTTGGAAAGGTCTTTCTGTTCTCTGGCTCAAGGGTCTGCAAACACACATATTGTGTTCATATTGTGTCCATAGTGTAGGTGTACAATCCTAGCAACAATAACTACACCCCTTGGCTGGCATTTGGAGGCATTCTGACATTATCAGCATAATCAAATGTAATTTTCAGTTGTTTTGTTAAACTCACAGTCCATCAACCCAATATTTCCTCCATGACTTTGTACAAAACAATGACACTAGAGAAAGATGGAGTGAACATTTGGTGACAGATTGCTGTGTGTCGTATATTTCATAAGTAGCTTATTTTATAGATACTCTAATATTCAGTCTAGAGTCTGCCTTGCATTCAGCAATTGTTTATTTTGTTAGGGAAAATAGCCACATAACTTAAGATGATGTGCTATATTATGAGTAATATCCAGATTTAAATTTAATATTGGTGTAACAAAGGAAACATTAAGCAATATACTTACCTGCTAATACTAGTTGGAAAACTCAATGTTAGTTTAACATTGAACAGCTATACATTGGGACAATTTTAACAAGTACTTCTAGTTAAGTTCAGATTTACGAATGTTGCAAATAATGTTATGAATAAATAGTGATTATATATAACAATTTATGTAATGTTTCTACTAATGTACTAATTTATATTAAATTTAGTATAATATATATATACTGTTAATTTATGTTAATTTAAATAATATTAATATTATTATATTGTTTATATTTATTTGTTCATATTAGGTTTAAATGTATTTATATGTAATGTTTTGATATTAAAATACATTTTTTTAGGTAACATTTTGTTAAAAAAAATTTTTTTATCAGTTTCGGTTAAAAATTTTTTTATCAGTTTCGGTTAAAGTATAGGTATCATAATATTATTAAAGCACTCGTTTTTTTTTATTTCACTGTGACATTCCTAAATGGAATTAGTTAAAGATACTAATAATCTTAATAAAACTTGATTTTAATAATAAAACTTAAAGAAATCAAGAATCAAACCAAAGTCAACTAATGATCAAAGTTCACAAATTTAAATACTATTTCGGCAAGTTGCGTGAAGGCACATTAATTGAAAAAAATGATGTGAATGGATAAATCATTTATAATAAATACTGCAATATTCTATGAACAAATCAAGAATTGTACATTGTTATTTCATGGTGACTTAAAATATTTTTTCAACTGATTTGCACAATGTCTCTGTTTTTGCTCCAGCCTCTAAGAGAGACTGTATTGAGCGGTTTGGGAAGAGGACGATCGAGCGGATCAACCATGATGACGATATCATCTGCACAACAGAGTACTCGCGGATTGTCCCTTTGGAGAATGGAGAGGTACGAACACAGACAAACTCTGTCTCAACACTGCAGATGCACTTAGCACTTTTATAGACACTTCATTGTGAAATCGGACTTTTGCCATTGTTAAATCACTCTCGTTCAGATTGTGGTGTCTCTGGTGAACGGACGACCGGGCGCCATGAACTTCTCCTACTCTCCTGTTCTGAGGGAGTTCACCAAAGCCACCAACATCCGCCTGCGCTTCCTCCGCACCAACACACTGCTGGGTCACCTGATGGGCAAAGCCCTGAGAGACCCCACAGTCACTCGAAGAGTAAGACAGACCCCTCTTCATTGTTTTGAATAGACAAAAATTGCAAACAAACCTCCATTACAAAACCATACATTTTCTGCATTTATTCTTCAGTATTACTACAGTATTAAAGACATCAGTATTGGAGGAAGGTGCGTGTGTAATGGCCACGCCGAGGCCTGTAATGCTCAAGACCCCAATGACCCGTACAAGTAAGTGACCTTTAAGAATATTTTAATTTGCTTTATTTATAGGATTTAAAAGTCACAAGTCAGATTCAAATCAGCATATTAGAATGATTTCTGAAGGATCATGTGACACTGAAGACTGGAATAAAGATGATGCTGAAAATTCAACTTTGATCACAGGAATAAATGAACTTCAAAGTGTATGAAAAATAGAAAATAGTTATTTTAAGTTTTAATAGTATTTCATAATATTTCAGACTTATTTCAATAAATCTCCCAAAATCTGTATTTTGTCCTGTTTTTGCCAACTCTATTCAGGATGTGTTTTCCTGCCTTATCCATCAATTTTAATGACATCATCAATAGGCAAATGTTGTTGCTACACTGTTGCAAATATGCAAATATTTCACTGATTTGTCGACACACATTCTTCACATGAGCTGAGAGGTACTTATGTCTGTAAATGTGCACTTTAAACATGCTTGTTCATAATCGTGTCTTTCCTGTGCCTGGAGTGGGTTAAAATTACCTTTAGCTTCCACCTGCACTGGAGACCACTAGCACAGGCACATACATGCTGCCCTGACGCTTTGCTCGGAGGAGTCTTCACTTGCCTGATTCTAAGCTTTCTGTACATATTTTCTCCTCAGAATATTATTTATCCTCAAGCACAATCTTTTAGACCTTTAACGTAATCCAGAGTTTTAGAAAACAGCTGCACTCATATCACAAAACAACCAACACTGGATCTGCGATATTCGCATAAGGGTTTTTAGCTAGAAAGCTCATAGTCAGAGGATCTTGTCGCGTGTCTCAGGACAGTGAGTGATGGTGGCCGGGGAGGGACATTCTTGAGTTGTGAGGCCCTGCAGGCGTCTGGATTTACTAGCTTGTCAGAAGATCACTCTGTGCTTAGCCTCCCTACTAATTGACCAATGACCAAGGATCCGTTCAGCGTTGGCTCACTTAAGGGTTTCAGTCACTCAGGTCATTGTAGAAGTTTGTGTTGAATGTATCCAGTGGCTTCATTTGTTTTGCTACTTTAATCATGTTCCAAGAGTAATGAAAACATTTAAGCGAAATCCTCAAAAAGCTGGTCCTTTAGTGTAGAAAACCGTTGGACATTAAGCAGATCATGCGGTTTAACCGACAGCGGTTTGTGTAATATTTCAGGAATCTTGAGAGATTTATCCAGACTCTTTGTATGTCGCAATCGAGACGTATCCGCCGGTCATAGTTTTTGTCCCTACTGATAAATAGTCTATTACTCTATTCGCTCATTCCACAGATTCCTGCAGCGTTCAGTGCAAGCAAACATGAATATGAACCACCTGGAAGGTGTCACATATATCAGTTGGAAAAAAAATATATCCTGTGTGGGGATTATCAAAACCCAGAGGGTTAATACGGATCATAGCAACAAGAAACATATGCTAACATTGCGTTTGGAGAGGAAGGAGCGTTCCCATAACCTTCATCGATCTCTGTTAAATCTGCTGTTCTTTTTGATTTCCTCTTTATATGATTTTGTGTGTGTGTGTGTGTGTTACTGATATTGTAGAGATCTTCTGATATACATGTGATATGGATGTAGGAGACCTGAGTCTGTCACACCTGTATATTTAATATATGAACCACACATCTTTTGATCCAAAAACTGCAGCATTTGTGAGGATAATCGAATCTTACCGAACCCAAACTTTTTAATGATGGTGTGTGTGTATGAATATATGCAGAAATGTATGAGGATTATTAATTTAATACTATTCTGAATGAATGAATGCTTACTGAATGAAAACAGACAGTTAGTGAAGGGTGGAGGGCTTTGATTGACAGAGCTATATGAGGATAACCCAGAGAATGAGTCAGACACTGCGGGTCACAGGTTAATCGCTAAAGCGTGCTCCATCTATAAGCTTCCCAGATCCACCTGTTTGCCCCACAGGTACCAGGAGTTAAACAGATGTCAGTGTGCAGTTGATTCATGGGGGAATTTGGGTAGATAGGTAACTTCTTCCATGCTGTAAGCTGAACCCGAAGCGTTAGAGGTTCAGGCATGTGTATTAAAGTCTTAGAGGAGATCTAGAGGGCAGCTGAGGGTTAATAGACTCTGGATGGGGTTGGTTAGTATGGTTGGCTGTAGCTCATTTGAAGTAAGGCTCTGGAACAATTGCTCCCACTGTGGGTGGATGCTAATGAAGGATTAAACCGCTGCTCAAGCTGAACCATCCAAACAGATTCAGGGAAAGTGTGCATCCATATGTGTGTACTTTGTAGTACTTAGCAATGGGTTGTGGGCAATATTGGAAAAAGTAGACCAATCATGTTTCTTTGGAATACTCATTTCAACATACAACGATTTGGGAAACACTTATTCTTATTTCAAATATTATTTAAGACGGATTTTATGCAAATTGGGACGCAGCATAATTATTGCTAAAAACAAACATTGTAGAAACTATACTGCAGTATTGAATTAAGATTCTATTGATTGACCTTGTTAGAAGGTTTTTTTATAAATGTGTAAATTTTGATGTATCTTACATAAGCAATAAGGTACGAGAGAGGCTGTGTTGTATTGTGAATAAGTAATGACTGAAGGGCGTTGTTAGGCACGACGTGAAGCGGAGTGACCCATACTTATTCACGATACAGCACTTGCCTCAAGTACCTTATTGCTTTTATAAAATGGTTACCACACGATAAAAATATTAAAGTAAAAATATATATATATATTAGTGCAACTTTCATGAAGTAAAATCACTAAAAGCCTTCCTTCCGCTAGAAAATAAATAGTCCCTGACCGTGAACAGCAACAACGTTACAATGTGTAATATGCATGAAAGCTAAAAAAAAAAAACAGGAACTGCAGTGTTGCGCAGTGATACATAGAACCGTTGGGTGAAGCGGTCATAGCCGTGTTTTATCATGAATAAAGCACAGCTATTGACCAATCAGAATCAACGATTGGAACTAACCGTTTTATAGAGTCCATTTAAGGCGTGTTCACACTTCACACTAAGAGGTATGTTTGGTGTGAAACTTCGGTGTGATAATTCTTTTAATTTGATTGACAAATGTTAATGAGTGTGATCAATCCGACATGAATATTCATGGACCGTCAATGTGACCCTTTTGTTTTTTACTGAGGTGCTCTAATCTGTTTTCCATCACACGGCAAAGAAAACTGGCCAACCAATAAGATTTGTGCTTTTGGTCACATGCCCAGAGCCGGCTCTCTGTACTCTTGCATTTGGTGTTGTTTGATAAATACTTTAAGTCTGTATGGCTTTTGAAATCATGGAAATACTGTATTACGTCCTATTTGCAGTGCTTTTATATGAATTTATACAATTGTTTTGAAATATGGCATATGTGTAGCAGTTTCTTGCTGTCTGCTGTGTAACTTTCTAATGATACGTGTGTAAATGCAGCCACCCGTGAGCAGTCTCGGTTAATTCGATCAGCTTTTCAGATGTCGTAGGAAAATTAAGCAAGCGTGAAGAACTTAACCATTTCAGACTCTCAGGTTTTAAAGGCTCTCTCGCTTTCCCTCTATCTCCCGAATTCACTCTTTTCATTGAAGCACAAGGTCAGTGAGAAGTTTAGACACTTGAATTAAAACACTGTAAGCTCTTGTGTGGCTCATTTGATGCCCGAAGTGCTTTAGTATTTGCATATACTGGCCCCTCGAGATTGAGACAGAAAGAGGATAAGAGTGATTCTCATGAGACTAACCTTCAAACATGGCAGTGAGAATTTACTTAATTATACAGTCGTTATATAGCCTAAATAATATATAGTCTGTAAAATGATTCAGTATTTATTTTGTTTTTATTGCAAAGTACCTAAAAGACATGTAAAGTGCCTAATGAAATCAGTTTTTTATGGAAAAGCATGTGCATGATAGAACGATGGATGGTTTTAAAGGATAACCTGTTTTTTGTCTTTTATGTCTGTGTACCCCAGGCTTCTGTGTGACTGCCAGCACAACACTTGCGGCCCGTCATGTGATCGCTGTTGCCCCGGCTTCAACCAGTTTCCATGGAAACCAGCCACGACTTACAGTGCCAATGAATGTGAACGTGAGTTCTCCACTCTGCGTCCAGCCAGCCCACGATACAAAGATTTAGTACCTGCCGGCACCTCCTTGACACATTGTTCACAAAACATGATTTCTCTCTTTTGGGAGATTTTTTTTCTTCTTTCCTTTCTTAATGGCAGAACAGCATTTCCTTTATTCGTTCCAACAGTGCTCTTCTTTATGTATGAACGGACATGACATCTAAAAGTACGAGTGTGACTTCTACAGAAAGTTCCAAAACTTAATATCTTCACTTCATTTCTGCCGTTTTGTGATCTGTTTCTTTCGTCATTCAGTCAATCACACAACCCTAGTGAAAAATAAATGTAATGTATTTGAAATGCTAAGTATACTACAAATACATTTTCATATTTATGTACTGTAACGTTTTAGGCAGTGTTGGGAAAGTTCACTTTCTACATGAACTAGTTCAAAGTTCAGTTCACACATTTTAAAAATGAACCAGTTCAGTTCATAGTTCATACTTAATAAATAAAATTTATTACTAGTTCATTTATAGTTATTTTTTTCTCTTTGTTGCGAGCTTTTTTTATTATTATTATTGCCACAGCCCATATACAACCACAGACAACAATTATTTTATCAACGGTTTTCACAGAAATGTAAGATTTTTCCCATCCTCACCGACCTCGTCATAAAATCCATTTAAATGATCATACGACGGCTCCTCGCTTGCTGTTTTGTCGACGGCGGCCGTGGTGCGATACTGGTGTCTGGTGTTGCCAGATTGGGTGTTTTTTCACTACATATTAAGGCCTGTTTACGTGTGTTTTAGCCGGGTTTTCGCCTGGAAGGCTCTATAGAAATCTGGCACCCTATTATACAAAGTTAAACTGAGAGCGCGTGCGTTCACAGACACCACCCAGATAGCAAACTGACATTGAATCAACGTGGAAATATGACATCGAAACAACGTTGATCTGACATAGTTTTGCTCATCGAATTAACGTTGAACCAACGTCAGACGCGTCATTCTTTCAAAACTAACGGAAAATCAACTTGAAAACAACGCGTTGTTTCAACGTTATGAAAGCAAACCAATTTTCGATTTTCATTTAGCTTTGAAGAATGCCGCGTCTGACGTTGGTTCAACGTTAATTCGATGAGCAAAATCAACGTTGTTTCAATGTCATGAGAGACGTCGTTTCCACGTTGATTCAATGTCAGTTTGCTGTCTGGGCAGAATGAATGCGTTCACTGTAACGTTCATCAGGCAGTAATACAGTACATTCAGTTCACGTTCGCCCAAAATATGAACGCGTTCAGGCACAACACTGGTTTTAGGTTTCAGTAAAGATGAAGAGGACCCCAAAATCAAAATAAAAGTTACATTTATTAACCTAAATACACTCCAGCACAAACAAAAGCGAGAGTCTATAAAACAGTAAGTCATACAAAACCACTGAATGAACCAAAATGAGGGACTCAAATACACAGTGATAATAAACAGAATTCAAACAGGTGTGATCGTTAAATCAATAATCATGGTGACAAACTATTGGCGGGAAAATGAGAACAAAGAAAAACCATAAGCAAACTTAAGGTACATTTACATGACAAGGATGTGCTAAAAACAGAAAAGATTGTGATGACAACATTATCAAAATGATCACCGTTCACATGGATCTGTGAAAACGACTAATAAAGCTGTATTATTTATGCCAAAAAAGTAGTTGGCGATGTCATTTTGTAAAAAAAGACCATTCTCCTGTGCACATACGCATTCTTTTACTACAGTATTACTTTGTCTTCTAGGTAAAAATGGCCCTCTGATACCTCTATTAATGTGAATACATATCAGCCTTTCAGATCTGGCTTAGTTGTGCGAGGATTTTTAAAGGTTCACTTTAGAATCAGCTTTAGTAAGACATCAGAGACAGTGTGAATAAGAGCGGCTGGCAGTCTATGTGAACAGCCCCAGCCTTCTGTGAGCTCATACAGACGCTAATCCAGTCTGACTTCTCTCACACACTGTAAAAATAGTCCCACAATGCTTTTAAGAGGATCTCAATCTCACTCTTTGGGTGTCTATCTGTGTATTGGGAGCTGTTTCAGTCTGGAAAACATTTCCTCTGAGTATGTTGTTGGATATCCGCTGTTTCCCACCTAATCTAATCTCTGAGTTCCCAAATATTTAACTGTCCCTTTGTGTGTAGAGACCTTGTGAGGTTTTATAGCACATCTGTGAGCAGAGCTGGCTTGAGTTAAGCCAGAGAGACTGTCCCATCTGACAGAACTGTTTCATCTCGCGCCGGGTCACCGTGTCCTCACCCCGTCGTCTGCGGACTGGACCCTTAACAAAACACAGCCATTCCACACCGCACGTCCTGTCAAAGACTCCACTGTGGGACGGAAAAAACACACATTCTGTAGTTTTGAGAGCTATTTAATGCCTGCTGGTGCATATTTAAAACTGATCCTGACAGTGTGAGATTTTTCTCATCACAGCTGATTCAAGTGTTAACAATTGTCATGTCAGGTGTTCTTAGCTGCAACCACTAATTCTGAACCTACAGGCCTGAAATAGGAATTTCATGTCAGATCAAAAGATTTTCCCACGATTTTGCATCTGGATCATGTTGGTAAAGTTGGTTGATTTCGCCACGTTGACTAGCTTTGGTTAATTGTTTGGTTTGAAAATTCTGTGTGAGCTTTTTGAGCATTTTAACTGGTAAAATATACAGAACATTTAATAAACACTTCATAGTTTTCACTGCATGAATTATAATTTGATTATATATGAATCCTTATTAGAGATACAAACGTTAATCAGTTAAGAGCAGTGAATGATTAACATTAATGACAGACGTCACAGCAGCGAGTTTAATAGGCTGCTGTCACTTTAGGAGCTGACGCACATACTTTTTTCTCATAAATTTAAGTTCATTTCAGACTCTTTAACTCATTTAAGACTCATTGTGTGTTTTTATCTTTTCAAGTGTGGAAAATAACTCAATGTGGCGCTGCCTTGCTGTCTGAAGCAGCTTTTTGTGCGCCTATATCAGGTGTTTGTTTACAGAGAGCTGCTTCACAGACAGCGCACCAGTACAGATTTAAGTTTTTTTTTATATATCTTATTGCGCTTGAATGGTTTAATAGCACTTGAATGAATTATAGAAAAAATGGATGCTGCGTTAATTGAGTTAAATATTTTAATGCGTTAAATTAAGAAAAAAAAAAAACATTGCAAAATGAATGCATTATTTTTTTTACAGCCCTAGTATCCAATGTGATTCCATTATTTGAATATGTCACACATAGAGAGCCTAAGTCCCTCCCCTTCCGGTCGACCACCATGGGACCTTATTTCGGAAAAATATTGTATGGTAGTCAATGGCGAGAGACAACAAATATTTTGATCTCGTTTGAATTGTGCCCTGAATTACACATATGATGTTTGTCGATTTAAAAGATACATTTTAAAGTACAGAAGGTCGCAGTTTGATGTAAAACCGTTGAGGTATAAGACTGTGAAAATACGTAATTACAAAGACTACAAACTCCAAAGGCGCACATTTTCTCTCAATAAATGAAGCTAACTTTACTGAGGCTGTCTGTCATTGTTTCTACAGTCTTACGTTATAATCGTAACGGTACGCCCGTCATACCTGAGTGTTTTGTACCAGACTGCACACACACGAGCAGCGGATCTCACTCGTTGTTTTGCTTCCCGGGAGATGTAGTTCATTGAGCGATTTTCACATAAAACTAAATGTTACTCTTCTGTTTTATGACAAACTGCGACGTTTTTGACTTTCAGAATTATCTTTTAAATTGACAAACATCATATGTGTAATTCAGGGCACAGTTCAGACGGAATAAAAAGATGAGTTGTCTCTCGCCATTGACTACCATTCATATGTTTTCCAAAATAAGGTCCCATGAGCCGGAAGCGGGGGAGTGGGACTTTGGCTCTCTACTGTGTTGAATACTTTGTAATTTAATCTTATTGTAAAAAAAAAGAATTGTCAATTTATTTGACCACAAGATGTCATGATGACACATCATACAAACACAACAAAACAATTGCAATCTTTGTTAGTATTGTGAAATCCCTTACTGCCAGGATTCCCTAACGTTTTTTTTCCCTAATTATCTCCTTGCTAACTTCACTCCTAGCTAATGGCTGTTGTCTTTTCTCTTTCCTTTTCCCTTCTCTGCTGTCATTCATCTTTGGACAGTCTGAACTCTTCAGGTGGACACTGATGTGTATGTCTCTATATGTCCTTCCCTGCTTGTGTATTGTTCACTCTGCACTGGCGGATGAGTTATTAATCTGTGTGTTTCATCTTCAGACTGACTATATGGTGACGTAAGTGTGTTGTGTGTGTGTTTTCAGCATGTAACTGCCACAGACACTCATCAGAGTGCTACTATGATCCAAAAATCGAGCAGCGGAGAGCCAGTCTCAACATGCAGGGAGAATACAGCGGCGGTGGAGTGTGTATCGAATGCCAGGTGGGCTCAGGTGTACAAACACACAATTATAACGCAAAAACAGTACAGCGGCATTTGCTGTGGCTCAAAACTGGGCAACATAGGTGCATATAACATTTGTGGGCATCAAATACATGCTCACTGGGTTTGCAAACACAGCTTTTGATATTTTTGCAAGTACATCCTATGATTTTTATTCTCTTACAGCACCACACAACAGGCATCAACTGTGAGCACTGCATTCCTGGCTACTACAGATCACCTGACCATCCACTGGAGTCCCCAGACGCCTGTTCAAGTGAGTCTTCAATCATACACAGTGTTATTTTAGAATTACTTATATAATATTATAATATTCATTTATATCTTTAAATCACTTTTATTTTCATATGTTATATTTTCGTATTTAAAAGAAAATGAAACTAGAAATAGTCAAAGCATGTTCTTTTCTTTTCTGATACTCACATGTGGTTTTGCAGAGTGTCAGTGTGAGTCTGAGTTTACTGACGGCACATGTGAGGACCTGACCGGACACTGCTACTGTAAACCCAACTACACCGGCGAGAACTGTGACGCATGTGCTGAGGGATACGAACGCTTCCCTGAATGCTACCGTAAGTTTTGTGTGTGTCTTTGAAGCTTTCATGAAGGTTTTAGGAATTCTATTTCAGCTGAATTCATCCAGTTCGGCTAATCTCTAAACAATTGTGTTTATTCTCGTCAGAGGTTTACATCAGCGGAGAGGTCAAACCTGCAGGCGAAATCATCAGTAAGACACTGATTTGTTTCAATTTGACTCTAATTTGATTTGATGAAACTCTAATTCACCTGTTTTATTGAATTCTTGTGTTTGCAGACTGTGAGTGCAGTGCTGCAGGCACAGAAGGGAACTCCTGTAGGACAGACCCTCGCACCAATACATGTGTGTGTAAACCTCAATTCACTGGAGAGTACTGCGACACCTGTGCTTATGGACACTTCGGCCTCAACTGCCAACGTAAGGACACAAACACACACACACTCTGCCCCTTTAATATGTTAATGCTGCTGCTGTGTGGTGACATCACATGGTTATAAGTATTAAAAAATAATAAAGATACATAAAAAGGTGCATATGAGATATAGTTAATTAACAAACATTCATGCCAATTGAAATGTTTAATATGTTAAAGTATATGAATCTAACTATATCTGAATTTACATTCAAATTATTAAATTAAAGCATTTGTTAAATGCTTTTTATGAGTTTTATAATTGTCACTGAGTCAATCTCAGTGATGTTTTAATGTAAGTATATTACTTGTCGTATCTGTGTGTATGTCCATTGCTTATGCTGCGTTCATGTGCTATGGTAATTATGGTAAATACCAAAAGCCGACGTGGAAAATGCACATGAACACCCCCTCATGTGGTATTTACCACTGGGCAACTCGTAGAATATTTTGATGGACGAGTTGCCGAGATGAGGTAACCTTTGAACTTTTCAAAATGGCGGAGAGCACCGCATGAGTCGTGAATGGTAAAAATATATACTATTCATGATCTAGAAAATATATAGCATATTATTTACCTTTTGAGTTTTGATGAATCATTTGCTTGCTGTTGCAGATGACTTAAGCAATCTAAAATAGTTTTCGCTAAATAACAGGTCTGGATCTCCATCTTTTTACCACATTACGACAACGCAACACACTGGTAAATTCCAGTTCACAAGTGGAAAATATCCTATTTTCCATAGCACGTGAACGCAGCATAAGTCTCAGAGCAAATCAGCTGTCCCGTTCTGCCCATTTTTGTCTCTGTAAGCTACAGGAGCAGATGACATCTGAGCAAACACATGCAGATTGTCGCACCAATGTTGTCTGTGTGTTAAACCGCTGTTGTTCTTGTGCATAGTCGGAGTGTTTGCGAGCACAATATACCACCCAAAGACAAAGGCAATGCAAACATGCCCACATTCTCGCTTCCTTCCCCCCAGGCTGTCAGTGTTCAGGCCAGGGATGCCTGGATGGGTCCTGTGACGCGGTAACGGGGCAGTGTGTTTGTCGGAGCGGGTTTCAGGGGTATTCATGCGAGCAGTGTGCGCCCGGCTACTTCAACTACCCACTGTGCCAATGTGAGTCTTGCCACATTGCAACTCACTAATCTCACTGAACTTCAAAATTCCCCATGAACATTGCCAAACCATGAACTTCACAATGCAGCCACAAAGAAACTGTTTCCTGTGCATTCTTTCACTGCTTAGAAGTCTGTTTAAGATCAATTTAAATGTTTACCCTATTTGCTTAACACACATTGTTGGTCTTATTGTGCATGATTCATCAGTGCGCATTTTAAAATATACAATAACTTTCTCCACCTGTGCTTTTTGGCTGATTTTTGAGTGCTGAAATAACAATTTTGTTCTTGCACATTCACAGAAGTGAGTTTGTTTGTCTGTGTATTGGTGGTGGAGTTTTTTAGTGACTCTTTCTGCAGTTTATATCATTATTCCAGTAGGTGGTGATGAGCGACTGCCTTTATGAATCTGTCATTTGAATCTTTCAGTCAACCGATTCATTCAACAAACTGATTCATTCTGAAACTAAACTGTCTTGATAAGGGAGTCATTGAATCATTCACTCAACCAGACTGATTTGTTCAAAAACATTGATTCACTTAGGTACAAAACAAGTGTGTCTTTATGAATAACTGAATCTTTTATTCAAATGATTTGTTTAAAACACTGAATCATTCAGGCAAATTTGTGTCTACAATGTAAGTTATTCAATCTAGACTGTGTAACTCACACAAACTGACACTCGGTTCTTGCTACATTCTTGTATATAATGCCTACTCATGATCCAGTCAATTCAATTCAAGTCACTTTTCACTCTGATATGTCACAATACAGAAGTAAAATGGGTTGCCAATTCATTTCATGTTGACTTTGATATTATTAACATTCATGTTTTAATTTCTCTCTCTCTCTCTCTCTGTCTGTCTGTCTGTCTGTAGATTGTGGTTGCAGTCGTGTGGGCTCTATGCCTGAGATGTGTGACGTGGCCGGTCAGTGTTTATGCCGGCCGGAGTTCACTGGTCCTCGCTGTGAGCAGTGTCGCTCAGGGTTTCACTCATATCCAAACTGCCAGGGTGAGACACACACTGAGAATATCCATAAAGAAAGTCTCTGATTTACACAAATACACTGTCCGTCTCTATTATCTCTTTTCATCCTGTTTCCCAGATTGCACTTGTGACCCTCGCACATCTTTGGACTCCAGCTGTAGTGTGTCTGGTCAGTGTATTTGCAGACCCAACTACAGTGGCCCCAAATGTGACCAGTGTGCACCCGGATCCTTCTCTTATCCCAGCTGCACACGTACGTCACATGACTCTTATCACGGTGGAAACATTACCAAGAAAAGGATTGTCTGCTGTAACACGTGATTTTCTCTGTTTCAGCATGTCGCTGTTCAGTGGAAGGCTCTCGCTTCAGTTCATGTGATCCAGTGTCTGGTCAGTGTGTGTGTCTGCCAAACATTGAGGGTCAGAGGTGTGATAGCTGCATGCCTGGGTCATATGGCTTCCCCCTCTGCCAAGGTGATCTTGCATAGACGTTTGCTCAAACAGAATCCTGGTTATAAAGTAATTTACAGTAGTTCTGATGGTTATCTTTCTCTTTTTATGCTGTAGTTGGGACGTGTAACCCAGCAGGCTCTGTTCATAACGATATCCTGCCCGCTGTGGTGAGCTTTATTGATCTTTTTCTATAATAAGTACTATGATACTGCATATATGTATACTGCATGATATTTTAAATATCACGTATATGTAATAAAATAGTATGTGAAGTATGCAGCAATATTTCAGTAGTAGTATGGCACATTGTTGTCACAACGTGTGACAAAAAAAAAGAAAGATATTCATACTTTTTTCGGCTAGTATGAATTAAATTGTTAAAAATGTATAATGTTAAGACCTTTTTAAAATAAATGCTGTTCTTTTAAACTTTCTATTCATCAAATAATCCAGAAAAAATGTATCACCGTTTTCACAAAAATGTCAAGCGGCACAACTGTTTTCAACATTAATAATAAGTGAATTGAGCATCAAATCATCATATTAGAATGATTTCTGAAGGATCATGTGACACCGAAGACTGGAGTAATGATGCTGAAAATCTAGCTTTGGCATCACAGGAATAAATTACATTTGTAAATGTATTCAAATAGAAAACAGTTATTGTAAATTGTAATAATACTTATGATTTTTTTAAAATATAAAAATCATATTTTACATGGTTACTTTTTAATCAATGCTGTAATTGAGGGTCTTGGACAAACATTTATTCTTAGTCCTGACTCTCAGTGCTTTTTTTTATATCCCAGGGCTCCTGCGAGTGTCGGCCGAATGTAGAAGGGGTGGCGTGCGATCGCTGTAAGCCTCTCTTCTGGAATCTTTCTCCCGATACAGACTATGGATGCTCAAGTAAGAGAAAAGTTTGGACACACAGCACAAAATGCCATTCTGAGGGATTGGGGAGTCTAGAAAACTAGAATGACTGCCATTTGGTTAACTTTGGTGACCAAACAGACTCTGGTGATGGTGTATTATTTGAATCTGTAGCTTGTTAGTTAAAATGTATATAGATTATATATTTCTGCTAATATATATTCTGATTGATTTTGCAGCCTGTGACTGTAATACAGTAGGAACAATGAGCGAGGTTGCAGAGTGCACTCAGGTATGGATTTATTTCCAAAATTACTCCATCATAAAAATGCAATTCCAAGAGAAAAGTTGGTAAACCTCCATCTGTGTGTGTATCAGAGCACCGGCCAGTGCTATTGTAAACCCAATGTGTGCAGTGGCACATGTAGCGGGTGCAAGGATGGGTACTTCAACCTTCAGAAGAACAACTACTTTGGGTGCCAAGGTACACTATCAATTCCAAGCAGAAATTGTCAATATTTCAATGAAGAGATGGGTTGAACTCTCGCCCCTGTGTGCATGCAGGCTGCCAGTGTGACATTGGAGGCTCCGTTAGGCAGGCATGTGATGAGAGACACGGGCGGTGTCAATGCAGACCCAATGTGGAGGGACCCAAATGCAAGCAGTAAGTGAAAAGCACACACAGATGCGGCTGTGTGCACCAATCACTTTTATGTGTGGCCGGATGTCATCACTCTGTTGTGCGTGTTTAGGCCACGGCCGGATCATTACTTCCCAGACCTGCACCATATGAAGTTTGAGGTGGAGGACGGAACCACAATGGATGGACGTCCGGTGAGGTTTGGTTACAATCCTCTGGAGTTTGAAAGCTTCAGCTGGAGGGGGTACGCCCAGATGTCCCTCATACAGGTGAGACACACACACACACACTTACGGGACTTAATGTTTGTACCTTGAAATCATGTTTTTTTATTATTAATGTTTTAATTTAATTTGAGTTATTATGATGAATCGATAATAATGATAGTATAAAAATATAACTACATTAGTGAATGATAAATAATAACAAATTCCTGTAATAATAATAAAAGCTGTAATATTAGTATTAAAAATTACAATAGCCACAATAATAATAATATTAAAATATATTATTGTTAAATATTGTGTATTATAGCGATTTGTTATAATTATGCATTGATAATAATGATAGTATAAATAAATAACTATATTACTGAATGATAAATAATAACAAATTGCTGTAATAATAATAATAAAAGCTGTAATATTAATATTAAAAATTACAATAGCCACAATAATAATAATATTAAAATATATTGTTATTAAATATTGTGTATTATAGCGATTTGTTATAATTATGAATTGATAATAATGATAGTATAAATAAATAACTATATTACTGAATGATAAATAATAACAAATTGCTGTAATAATAATAATAAAAGCTGTAATATTAATATTAAAAATTACAATAGCCACAATAATAATAATATTAAAATATATTGTTATTAAATATTGTGTATTATAGCGATTTGTTATAATTATGAATTGATAATAATGATAGTATAAATAAATAACTACATTACTGAATGATAAATAATAACAAATTCCTGTAATAATAATTATAAAAGCTGTAAAATTAATATTAAAAATTACAATAGCCACAATAATAATAATATTAAAATATATTGTTATTATAGATTGTCTATTATAGCGATTTGTTATAATTATGAATTGATAATAATGATAGTAATAAATAACTACATTACTGAATGATAAATAATAACAAATTGCTGTAATAATAGTTATAAAAGCTGTAATATTAATATTAAAAATTACAACAACCACAATAATAATAATATTAAAATATATTGTTATTATAGATTGTGTATTATAGCGATTTGTTATAATTATGACTTGATAATAATGATAGTATAAATAAATAACTACATTACTGAATGATAAATAATAACAAATTGCTGTAATAATAATTATAAAAGCTGTAATATTAATATTAAAAAGTACAATAGCCACAATAAAAATAATATTAAAATATATAGTTATTATATATTGTGTATTATAGCGATTTGTTATAATTATGAATTGATAATAATGATAATATAAATAAATAACTACATTACTGAATGATAAATAATAACAAATTGCTGTAATAATAATTATAAAAGCTGTAATATTAATATTAAAAATTACAATAGCCACAATAATAATAATATTGAAATGTATTATTATTAAATATTGTGTATTATAGTGATTTGTGTATTCATTTAACTGTTTGTATTGCACTTAATGTCAACATTAAATTAACTTTTTTTAGTACATTTGTAAATGTCTTTGTAGTCTAAATGTAATCATCAAAATATAACAACCTTCCTCTTTTTGGTGTTGTCACCGAGACAACATAGAGACAACTTTTTGTACAATTTTAATGTGTACAACATCAAGTCTAGAGCCCCTTTCACACAGAGATTCCGGAAAATGTTGTACGCATCGAACGATCTCAGCTTCAGCGCGGATAGTAATAAACTCCCTTTTTTTAAAAGAAAATTTTTCCGTTCTTTCTTTGTTGATGACGAACACAAACTTTCTTCTAAGCGCAACAGATAACAAAGTCATTGCGATGGCAGCTGCGTCATCACTACGACACACCCCTTACGGCATCGGTCCTGGCGTTTGATCACACAGGGCACGTTCCGGGACTGATCCCTGCAATGTTACTAGGTCCCCATCCCGGCATCAATCCCGGGACGTGTTTGCGTTCATACTCTCGTTTTCGTTAATTTCCCGGGATCAAAGCGCCTGTGTGAAAGGGGCTTAAAAAGTATATCACATAACAGATGTAAAATATGTTATGAATGCTTTTCCATTTAGACTTTAAAGATATTGTTAAAGTAATAATATTAAATATAATGTCAATAAATATAAATTGTTGTAAATTTTAAATAAATATTATAATGTCATTATTATGTAAAGACGAATGAGATGTTCATGCATGTGTGTGTAAACTTATATAATATCAGAATGCAGAATATCACTGTGATGTGTCATTGAAATGTGCTGTGTCTTTGGCTTGGCGGAGGGCTTTGATCAAGGGTTTTGATTGGTGCTGCTTGCGTATATTGGCTGCTGTGTTGGGCTGTAGTGCTGGTTGGTGGTGGCTTTAAGGAACAGCTTTGCAATTGTCTCTGTTGTGGGCCGTTCTTTCTCGCTCTCTAGCCTCGGGTTCTGGTTGAGGTGGTGGTTGGCTCTCCTGACCTGTTTCATGTGGTCTTGCACTATGTGAACCGCGGGGCCGTGGAAGTGAGGGGGCGGGTCTCTGTGATCGAGGATGGCAGACACTTCCTGTGTGGAAATTGTAAGTCTTTGAGCACCTCTCAGTGTTAATAATGTCTTTTCTCCATCTTTCTACCTTCCTTACTACTTGGTGACTTCTTTCGGCCCTCCATCTCCCCATCCTTCATCTCCCCATATTCAAGACACACTCACAGTAAAACCTGCATCTCAGCTCTATCACATGATCACCCCCAGCTTGATCAGGAAGCCACAGATCAGGTCTTTAACTCAGGCCTTGTTATGTGCTGTACACCCTCCCCTCCTCTTTCCCTCTCTCTCCCCTTCTCCTTGTCTTCCTTGTCCTCCATCTCAGAATACGGTTAAAATGATGGTGCACGTACGTGAAGCAGACGTGTATCTCACGCGCTTCATCCTCAGATATGTAAACACGCGGTCGGCCGTGTCGAACGGTAAAATCACAGCCTTTCAGAGCAGCAGAAGAGGTACGTCTGACGGTTCAGTGTCGTAGTTCTGAACTGCCATAGCTTTCTTTCTGTTAACTGAGGTACCGGATAAGAAATATTTGGACTTTTGACTATTATTATTATTATTATTATTGTTATTAAAGGGATAGTTCACTTTAAAATTAATTTTTGATATGTAGCTCACCTCAAGGGCATCCAAGATGTAGGTGTCTTTGTTTCCACAGTATTTTCAATTTTGACATTTTTCAGTCAAACCTTTATTGTCTATCAGTCATACACTGGAGGCAAAGGGGGTCCACCTCAAAGAGCATGCACAGAGAAGTCCAAATTAAACATGATTTAAGGACTCGTACATGTAAGTACACATTGATGGCCTAAGACACGAAACGAGCGGTTTGTGTGAGAAAACGAACAGTATTTATATCGTTTTTACCTCTTGTAATCATAGCCATGACAAAATGATCTGACGGCACGGGCGCTTCGGTCTGCGCATGCGTCGGAAGTGATCGCTTGTGCGCCTACGTCACTTTTTGTTTATACAGAGATTTCGGAAGTTTTACCTTTCACTAAACATATTTAGATATACGGGAAACCGCAATGGAAGACGATTTCGGTATATCTAAATATGTTAAAAGGTAAAACTTCTGAAATCTCTGTGTAAATATTGAGTGACGTCACACGCAAGCGATCACTTCCGGCGTAACATTGAACTGATTCAGTTCGGTTCAGTTGGACATTGCACAACTGATTCAGATCACTTGGACGTCACTGTGATTACACGAGGTAAAACGATATAAATACTGTTCGTTTTCTCACAAAAAACGCTCGTTTCGTGTCTTAGGCCATCAATGTGTACTTACATTTACGAGTCATTAAATCATGTTTAATTTGGACTTCTCTGTGCATGCTCTTTGGTGGACCCCCTTAGCCTCCAGTGTATGACTGATAGACAACAACGATTTGACTGAAAAATGTCAAAATTGAAAATACTGCGGAAACAAATACACCTACATCTTGGATGCCCTTGAGGTGAGCTAAAACATATAAAATATTCATTTCAAAGTGAACTATCCCTTTAATTACGGTGTTTCCTCTATTTTATTTAAGTAACAAGGTTCACCTGAAAATGAATCTGTAATCATTTACTCATGACGTTCAGAATCATGCAAAATTGCACGACTTTCTTCTATTGATCCCGAAAGGAGAGTTTTAGCATGTCCGAGCTGCTCGTTTCCATACAATGAAAACTATGACAAAAAGGCATTGTAATATTACTATAAAAGGGGTCTATATGAAGCATAATACAAGGTCATCAGTGATGCCACATGTCATTGGTTCTTGCACTTTTCTTGCACTTCTTACACAATTTACTTGAATCATTTTTGTCTTTTAAGCTAATGCATGCTTAACATTTTTAGAAGACTTGTAAAGCTTGATGTATATTAACTATTTTATTATGTTATTTTATTTTTTAATAAATGATGCAGTATAACTAGATGCTGCTCAATTTAGAGCTCTCTCTCTCTCTCTATATATATATATATATATATATATGATTCTAGTAAATAGCTTATTTGCAGCAAGTGTCTCTACTTTTACTAAGAACCTAAGTAATCTAAGAACGCTGGCAGCAGAACACAGCGTTTATAGTCGTTTTCTTGGATCCGTGTGAAAAGGGATCATTTTGACAATGTTGACGTCTGTACGAGGAAAAACGCAAAGGAAAAACCTTTCCATTTTTAGTACATCGTTGTCGCGTAAACGTACCCGTTCACCATTTCAAATGTTTTAATTTTGATTTTCCCCTTCCCCTTTTACTCTTTATCTATGGAAAAGAGCAGCTGGGACATCCTGCTAAACTTCTGCTAAACTAAAAAAAAGTCTACATAAGTAAATGAAGAGCAGCTTTTTCATTTTACATGAACTATTTTTGGTACAACAATTAATATCTTGATATTAATAATGAATAAACAATATGTAACTTTTTAAACAAATTTTTGAGACATGTAATGTTTTAGTAATTCAATAAATGCTGTGACTCCATACCCATAAATTAGATCTCGTTCCTTCTCTTTGCAGGCTCTGAGCAGTCGAAACAGATCGTCTTTGCACCCAGTTCAGAACCCACGTTTGTGAACGTGCCTCAGAACAGTTTTGTGGAGCCATTCGTCTTGAACCCGGGAACCTGGACTGTGATCATTGAGGCGGAGGGCATTCTGCTGGTAGGACCACCTCTTAAACATTCCCTCTACATTATATTGAGCAAACGCCGGACACACATTCTGTGTCTCTTTCTCTCTGCAGGACTACCTGGTGCTTTTGCCCAGTGCCTATTATGAGGCTCCTATCCTGCAACTTCAAGTGACTGAACCCTGTTCATACAGAAACACACAGAGCGCAAGCCAGAAGTCAGTAGTACAGTTACTTTTTGTGTGTATATGTCATGTCTATACCTGTTTATGTGCAATGTGACTGAAGTAATTTGTTTTTTTGGTGCGTTTAGCTGTCTGCAGTACATGTATCTGTCTCTGGATGAGTTCCCGTCCATCTCCAGTAATGATGCCAGCTGCAGGTTTGATAATCACCTGCCTAGACCCTGTCAAACTGAAAAGATCACACCTCGCCATCCCAGCATGGCCATCTGCAGTGGCAATGATGTAAGCACATAGGTTGAAACAATAGCTGTTTACATCCAAAGCAAATAAAACATAAGCATAAAAATATTTATGCGTTTGAACATTATGAATAAAATCCCATCTGTGTGTTCAGATGAACGTTCAGCTGCGTGGTCGCGTTCCCGTCCCTGGAGAGTACGTGTTGGTGGTCGAGTACGCCAGTGAAGATCAAGCCCCTCAAACACTCACTGTGTCTGTCAGCTCACCGGGTGATCCCACTCACCAAGAGCAAATCACACTGCTCCACTGCAGATACAGGTGTGACGATTGCCTTTTCTGTTCGACCTGCTCTTTTGTGCTTCAGGTTCACTCTCAACTTGAATGGGTCATATACTATAATTTTGTAGTATTTTAGGATTTTACACTCTCTCTCTGACCCGTTGAATTAAACATGCTGTTTTTGATATCACTTCTATATGACCTTTTTTATGATTGAATGGCCATTTTGCATGTGAAATGAGTCATATTTATTGTTTTAATGTAAAATCGCTGCCACAACAATTTTTCACGTCCCATTTAATTGTTCAGTAGGTCTTTTTTTCATATTTATTTTCTACATTTGCTGATTGAATTCTGTGTGTCTCTTATTATGTATGTGTGTGTGTGTGTGTAGTTTCCTGTGCCGTGCAGTGTCTGTAGATGACATGAAGCGCGTGGCGGTCTTCACTCTGTCCGCAGAGGCTGATATCCAGCTTGCCGCCACCGATAGAAGAAGCAGTTTCTTCCTTGTGAGAGAGCATGTCTGCTTGAATTCGGCCATAAAAGCTATTTTTGTCCACTGTAATAATGGCATTTACAAGTGTGTGTTGTATCCCCCCCCCAGCACAAAGTGTTCCTCGTCCCTCGTGCTCAGTTCACCATGGAGTACTTGAAGCCCAAAGTTCACTGCATCAGCACACACGGTCTCTTCTCTCCGGACAGGTGACTAACACATACATCTGAATCGTGAAGAGCTTCAATCAAACATTTTGATTGTTTAATTGAAACCATTTTTGACTTTCGATTGATTTTTGATTGTTGCATCACGTGATTTTTAATTTTTATTTGATCATAATTTTTTTTTTTGCACAACCTTTCTAACTCTTGTAGATAATTTCATTTTGGAATTTATTTTATTTTATTATTTTTATTTAAGTTTTTATTTAGGTATAACTTACTAGGCTACTCTATTTTTTTGATTATTTAATTTAGGATTTATTATTATTTTATCTTAAATGTTCGGGTGTAAACTAAACAATTTCTAACTTTTCTACAATCACACACTTGTTTTATAGATTTATTTGATTTAATTTCTTATCTTATTTGTTTTTTATTTTGGTGTGTACACTTGGGTGTGCAACTTTTCGAACTTTTTTTACACTCAAATTAGTTGTGCGACAAATCACAAAACTCACGGTTTAAGATGAGTGAATAGTTAGTAATAAAATAAGAGCAACTGCACAAATTACAAACAGAAATGTATACAATATAACAAAGTTACGAATAAAGTAAGGTCTATCAGTTTTAACAGCTTTCCTGTAGCTAAAACAGTAGAGCGTTGGCAAGGTCATGGGAACTGATAAGAATGTAAATGTGTACCTTGAAATGAAATGTTAGTCGCTTTGGATAAAAGCATCTGCCAAATGCATAAATGTGAATGTAAATGACATCAATGTCATAGACAGCAGCAGGTATATTAGGCTGCTGTCACTTTAAGACCTAATGCTCGGATCCAATATAATGATACACATTCAATTTCTTTCAACTGTTTATGTTCAATTTAGACATAATTGACTGTGTTTATGAGAATACTTAAATATTTTAAGATATTTTTATGTTTCTTTGTCTGTTAAAACTCACCAAGGAGATGTGAAAGAGCTCGATTCAGTGTTCGCGTCCTGTCTGAGCGTCCTGTGCACACAGATATAGCAGTGTGCAAACACCGAATTGAGTTCTCTTTCGCGTCTCCTTGCGTTTGAATGGTTTAAAATCAACTAAATGTTTAAATTGGCAAAACTTAGAAATAAATGCAAATGATAAACTTTCACTATGTGATGGTTAAACTTCGCAATTAATCTGCGAACCATGGGACCTGTTTTTTTTTTATTTATTTAATTTTTTGTTTAATTTAATTCAATTTATTTTATTTAAAAAACATTATTTTTTCACTGTCTTAGCACTGACCTGTCATTGAATACTGCCAGTTTTTGACACATGACATATGAATATGCTACAGTTATAAGTACTAATAATCGTCAAATTTTATATTCTATTTGTCCAGCGGCTCCTGCATCCCGTCTCGTTTCCAGAATCCTCCTCAGTCTCTGGTCCTAAAAGAGGGTCAGGCTTCTTCTGCGCCGGAGCAAGTTCTGGCTTCAGCCCCCGATTCCTCCCTTTATGCAGACAGACCCATGACCTCTAGGCCGCCAACCGCAGCTGATAACAGTGAACACGTGCTTCTGGACCCTAATCAGGTACATCAAGCCTCTCACATTGCTGTCCAAAATCTGTTACCGTTTATTGCTTTAAATGAACCTCCATTTATCCATCCTGTGCCTCCTGTCTTCTAGGTCGTCTCTTTCTGATCCTTGAATGTTGACACTAATGTTCATTTGTCTGCATGATTTCCCAGAACGCTGTGGTGTATTCAACACGTGTACATGCACTGGGCCGTTACGTGTTCATCCTGCATTACCATCAGCCCTTGCACCCAACTTACAATGTCCAGGTCTACATCAACGGAGGACGCATATGGCAGGGTGAGCTTTAAACAGATGCACACTATTGAGGTTGTGTTTTAGCAATACAAATATTTGTTTTAATGGTCACTCTCTGTTTTCCAGGCCACGTCAACGCATCCTTTTGTCCCCATGGTTATGGTTGCCGTAGTGTTGTTATGTCTGAGAACCAGATTATCCTGGATGTGACGGACCACGAGGTCATCCTGACCCTGCGTGTTCCAGACAGGAAGACACTGTGGCTGGTGAGTGTCATTATGAAATTGTATTAAAGGTTCATTCGAATTTTGTTCAAGAATGATAATAACAATGACTCGACTACACTCTCTTGTGTTTGTGTTTTAGGACTATGTGCTAGTGGTGCCAGAGAGCACTTACAGCTCCAGCTTTTTGTTTGAGGAGCCTCTGGACAAATCCTATGACTTCATCAGCAACTGTGGACAAAACAGCTTTTACATCAAGTATGACATTTCTGAATTTGGAAATATGTTTGGATGCACCGATATAAAAGTTTAGGCTAGTAATCCTTTTCATGCTATGGACTAAAATAGACAAAAATGAATGACAAATATTTCAATTATAGGCTATTTTTATATATGGATGAAAAATATATACATTAAATGTAATATGAACATTAAAAAAAGATGAATTGTTAATTAAATTTGAAACTACTAAGAATTATATTTGGTGATTAAAGCTGAAATAGCAAAAATGCACTCGATTAAAAACGTAAACATAAAAACGTAAATGAAAATGAGAATGT